ATGTATGTATGGATGTATGTATGGATGTATGGATGTATGTATGGATGTATGGATGGATGTATGGATGTATGGATGGATGTTTGTCAGTGAAAAACCAGATGAAGCAGACTAACACAGACAGAAGACAATGTCCACACATACATCAAAGTGTTCTTTTGTCCACGTTGGACAAGAATCGATGGTTGAGAGACGGTGTTATATTCTCATCCTGAACCAAGATGACCTGACACTTCACTTGAAGCTCAACAGGTGAAAGTCGTTACCATGGTGATAAAGTCAGGTAAGCCAGCTTTGTGACACTGAAGACTCAGAACTGAACCGGAAGTTTTCTCTACAACAAACCAACTCTGCTTCACAGAACAGGCCACAGAGCGACCCCTGTTCCTCTGTGTACAACACACACTTACACAATGGTCCCGTGCATGCAGAAAGTCAAAGAGCTCTTCTGTGCACTCCTCCGTCGTGCGGGACCTGGAGTTCACCCTGGCTTCACACGCATCCAGACGCTCCTTGGCGTGCGCACAGTGTGCCGTCTGCTCACACTTGGCTCGTACGGTTTCTAAAGGGTCCTGAAAGACACACGAGCACCTGCTTTATGCTTCAAAACAAATAACGCCTCACTTCTCAAACCTTTAATGCTGCTTGTGACGATTTGTAGAATGAAGACAGCACAAGTCTCAAGTTCACGTGGTACTCTAGGTTATAAACATTTGTCTTTCTTGTTGTAGATAACTTTGTGATGGACCTCCATTTGGAGAAATAAAGTTGAACTCTGACAGGACTCATGAGCCTTCACTTGCAAAGTTTATTACCGTTAAAACGACTTCAATCACAGAGTTTGTAGTCGTTTAAGTGAAAGCTACTTCTCTGGCATTTACGCTGTTAGTTTCACATTCCATGATCATTTGGGCAGAAATAAGATTTTTGATTTGACTGTCCCCGCGCTGCACCTGCAAGCAACCGCACAATCAGTTTTCATTCATTCAACCTTTACCAGCTTACTGTATTCTCATGGTCACGAGAGACGTGCATGACCTGACGTGCACCTTCTATGTAAGGCAGAACTGATGGTGATGAAAAGGTCTGACAGGGTGTCCAAAGTGAGGCCCGAGGGCCATCTTCAGCCCTTGGAGTGATTTTATGTGGCCCTCAACTGCTATTTAAGAATATAACTTTGGCCCCCAGGCTTAAGGGGCCGACACAGATAAACCTTCTGCGAATGTAACTGTGACACTTTTTATATCATCTTTACATTCAACAGCAAAGCAGATTAAAAAAATCTTCTCAAAATAAGCAACACTGAAAACAATAGAAACCTCTGGCTACATTAATCCTTCTTTTTATGATTTCATGGTACAAACCTGAAGTAAACTTTTGGATTAAGATTTAGAAAACTTTATATAACAAGTGCTTTCAAAGAAATGCAGTTGCTTTAATAATCCATGGAGGGAAATTGGACATTTTTAAAGAAATATAAAGAGACATCATTTACATACAAGTGGATCAACTTTATTAAGTGTCTCTTCAACAAAAATCTGTTTTAGCGACTGCCAGCTCTGATTTATTAGTACTCCGAGCACCCGTTTGGACATAAACCTCTTTTAATGATGGTTTTAAAGACCAGTTACTCATATTGTGCTTTTGTTTCCGAGAATAGACAAAAATGAACTTTCCATGCACAACAAAAAACAACAGACCCAACAAATTAAATTAATTTAAAAAAAATATATATATATATGATTAATGTTTGAGTCTTTGAGTGTTTTGGATTTACAAAAAATTTGAACTTCATCTTCTCCAAAATTGGTCAACTTTGTCCTTTCTCCAAAAATATAGTTCACGTTGTCGAGAAAATAAAATAAATACAATCAAAAAACTGGTGCACTCTTTAAAAATGATCTTAAACTCAAATTCTTGTGACCTGCAAGTCCTTTCCTCGCGGCAGTGTTGGCCCACAAATGAAAACGTCTGGATGCCCCTGGTCTATGAAACAGCATTTGTATGAATTGCTACGATTTATTTGTCCTTTAGAGAATGGGGTTGTTTTAAGATAAAAATTGTCTTTGGTTGCATCTACCCAACATCTGAGTTGTGTTTAAATTAACCATTAGCTCCATCAGCCCCGCCAGACTCTAACTGTAACTGTTAAAAAAAACATCTACAACAGGTAAGATATTCATTCTTCATATTCTCTGTACAGAACCCTTTTTTAAAAATAGTCAGAACATCCCTTTAAGAAAAAAATCTATAATACAAAAAAAAAAGTTCCACTTTATTTTTCACAAAATTAAAATTTGGAGTTTTATGTCCTCAGAAGCTTCATTGAGTGTGTGTGTGTGTGTGTGTGTGTTGGGGGTGGGGGGGGTTATACCACAAATATCTTGAAACAACAGACTATAGATATACACAAACAAACAAACAAACATAACAGTTTAAACAAATGTGGGCTCATCTGTTCAGAGTTTTGATTATTCCCAATCAACTTACCACCATTTCCTCCTCTTCCTCCTCCTCCTCCTCTTCAGGTGCGTCTCCCTCCTGTCAGACAGGTAAACACAATCTGGTTAGTTTTAGTCAGCTACAGAAATAAATAATCTAGGAACTTAAACCAACACCTGAACTAAGTGGATAGAACAAACTTAAGTCCAGTGTATCACTGTACTTATGTGGTTGATGAGGTTCTAGTATTTATTTTAAATCTTGTCTTTACAGTAAAACCTAAACAGAATGGGAACACTCTCGTGGTATACAATATTACAATTTCAGTCAAAGTCCACGTGCTGAAAGTGCTATTTGTGTCCAAAGCAGCTGATCCTGTTGTGGATCTGTTCACACAGACACTAGTTCGGTAACACAAGGACTACCACATGCACACATTAAATACGAACTTCTATTATTGTATTACTAATGTTTTAATACCTTATCGTCAGGATCTCCATACGTAATCATTTTCTTCTCGAAAACCATATTTACTAAAATAAAATGTATCAAAAAATCAGCGAACTGACGTGAAAAACTACTGGTGTCCCTGTTAGAAGACGCAAGGTCGGTCACACGCCGGAAACGATTAGAAGTTTCCGTCTAAGCCGTTTACCATTGGCTCAAAGGCTTTATGGACGTTAATATTGTCCAATCACACGCCGAGTTTCTGTAAGGTCCGCCCATCAAGGAAGTGCGGAACTAACGTTAGGACGGTGAAGAAAAAGTCGGACGAAGGAGGTTGTAGCACCGTGGAATGGCGCTGTTCTTAGAGAAGTCAAGGCTTTTATTGAGAAAAGTTAAAGGTTTGAGGAACCTAACGCCTCAACGGAACCGAGTAAAAGATAAATGGGTACGTTCTCAACAAACAGATGAAATAACATACGTGTATAGGGTTACTGCAGGTGCTCCAGTCTCCTCAAAGCATGCATGTTAGGCTCATACATCATTTGCAACTTCTGTCCTTGTTGCAATTTGAAAAACGGTGAAGTTCAGAGCTCTGTCCAGTCCATCATCTGTAAACGGAAAATCTATGGCACAACCGTAAACTAACCAAGGCCTGGCCACCTAAAGTGACAGGCAGAGACCTGTGATGGGACAGTCTGTGCACAGCACCACTGTTTGCTGTGCTTCACAGGTCTGGACAGTATGAAAAAGGGACAAGAACAATGTAATTGTTGAAAGAAAACCAGAAGTCCCATTTTCAGTTTGACAGAAGGAGCACAGCAGAAGAAGGAGCTCAGATCAGACCACAACTCAAGGTCTTTGGTTTAGCACAGATATGTGCTACTTGGTCTTTTGCATACAATTTCAGTAAAAGTCTTTAAAGTTTGTGGTTAAAATAAAATATGGACAAGCTTAAAGGATATGAATAATTTCTCAAAGCACTGTACGATCATAAAGTAAACATACTTGTAACTATTTTTCTCCTCAACAGGCTGCTACTCGTCCCAAGCACCCTCCCACCAGGCTGGCCCTGCAGCACTTTGATGCCACGTATGGTCCCGAGCTGGGGCCACGGTGGCCATCAGTCAGAGTCGCCCTGCTGTCGGAGAGAAAGTACGGCGCCCTGATCAATATTTTTGCTAGCGATGTTGACCTGGCAGAACTCGAAGCCCAGGGATGCAGAGACTTCATCAAAGACCAAGTTGGTGTGTGTGCCTTTATGTTGAAACAAGTCATGCTGGTTCAGGCCTCTTTGCTTGCTTACTGGTTACTTACTGGTGGATAGAGCTCTTTTTGTTCACGTATGGAAAGCTAAATGGCTACAACAAAACCAGTTTTACAGGTTTTGAACGTGGTTTCAGTGTGATTGTAGCTGATCGTGCTCAGTATGTGTTAAGGATGGCTGATGGTGTTGTCTTGATGTCTTCTTGACTGAACTGACTGTTAACAAAATATCTCATTAACTGCTGGATGGGTTTAAAAATCAGAAAGTAATAATTACATATACATCTACACTTCATTAACTTTTGAAGTCGAAACCTTGTGTCTCAATGAGACTACCTGTGTAAAAAGTGAAGTCAACCCAATTCAAGATGGCTGCCATAGCTAATGAAAATAATCATTGGATGTGCATCTGTACCTGATTAACTTTTGGAGCCAACCCAATTCAAGATGGCTGACTTAGCTAATCAACTTAACCCAAAACATTATGACTCAGTCACTTTGACACATATTGAGCTACAGTTGGGGGCGGTTGTTGCTGAGCATTATTCACAAAGCATCCTTCGAGCACTAGCAGAGCGGTCCTGCACTGTAGCATGAGATTGGGCGTGTGCAAGGTTGGACCAAAATGGCTTTAAGTCCGTCTCCTCTCATTAGAAGTTAATCCTGTTTAAAACTCCTGCACAAGCCTTGGCAGGAGATATGCAAGCCTTCAACAAATGCAAAGCCTTTCGATCTTTTTGTTTCTTCCTCTTTTACAGCCCTGACATCATCTGAGCACATCGTTGAGGGTGAAGCTAAAACAGATCCCAGTGATTCTTCGATGAGCAGAGCTGAGGCTGACGGTCTGCTACAATCTCCTCTACAGATTAGCTCAAATGTGCAGTGCTTTGTGTTTCAAAGAGGAGATATCACACGCTTCAAGCCTCCCAGGTGAGGAAAAGTTGACAAGACCTGAAAGTGTTGTAATAAGGGCCTAATCTAACCTAAGTTTCCTCATCACATATGCAGACCAGACCAGTTTGGCCTGTTGGATTATTACCTGATGGATGCAGCGTCTGTGTTGCCATGTCTCGCACTAGACGTTCAACTGGGTCACATGGTGCTCGACCTCTGTGCTGCTCCAGGTGGCAAGAGCCTGGCTTTACTTCAGACCCAGCTGATCAGTAAGCTGATAGTTTGCTCCTTCACCGAGTCTCTTCTGGTGGTTCTCTGTTCATCGTCTTCCATGCTGTGTTCATGTCCCAGGGTTTTTTTGCTTAAATGACTCTTCAGTGTCGCGAACAAAGCGTCTGAAAGGGGTCCTCCACAGCTACATTCCTAAGCAGTTTTTGACGGATGACAAACTTCTCATCACCTCCTTTGACGGTACCATGTGGGGAGAGGTTGAGAGGAACTCCTTTGATAGAGTAAGTGACTGTCATACAGCCATGTGCTCCTGATTACGTTGGCCAGCCATGTTTGTCCATAAATGTTTTGAAGTCAAGCTACTTCTGCATGTTTTGTGCTACATTAACCATGTTGAAGCACTGGATGCTAAGGATTATTGTGCTGCACTTTTCTTAGACCTGTCTAAAGCTTTTGACACTGTGGATCAGAACATCTTGTGTCATAAACTCTCAGAAACTGGTTTCTCAGAACACACCATTGGTTGGTTCTCTAACTCTCTCAGATCTGAGGCAATGTGTTCAACATAATGGTACTTCCTCCAGTTATTTAGCAGTCAACAATGGTGTACCACAAGGCTCAGTATTAGGATCCGTCCTCCACAATATATATGAATAACATAGGTCAGATCATCCCTGATGCATCCTTACAATTCTATGCTGATGACACAGTTGTTTATTGTCGAGCTAAAACAGTTGCTAAGGTTTTCCAGTATTTTACCGTCTGCATTCAACATCATCCAGACTGATTTGTTCCACCTCAAACTTGTGCTAAACGCAGACAAAACCAAAGGAATGCTTTTTTCAAACAGGAAGTCAGTACCAGCAGTTCTTTGTTCGATCTTATCTACAAATGGTGTTCCTATTAGTTTGTCAACTCTTTTAAACACTTGAGCATCTTGGTCGACTCACATCTCTCTTTTAAGCCTCATGTCAAAAACCTATTAAGAAACTGAAAGTTAAACTGGGTTTCTTTTTCAGAAACAGATCCTGTCTAACCCTGAATGTTAGGAAACACCTTGTATCTGTGACTTTCCTTCCCTCCATTGATTACGGTGACATCATTTACATGAACGCTCCTTCAAGAACCCTGCAGATGTTGGATGCTGTCTATCATGGTGCACTAAGATTCATAACTGGCTGTGATTATCGTACCCACCACTGCACCCAGTATTCACTGGTTACCTGGTCATCATTAACTTCACACAGACTCTCTCACTGGTACATTTTCATCTTTAAATCACTTCTTGGTCTGTTGCCTTCATACATCTCCTCCTACATGTCTCTGTGTGAGTGCAGCTACAGCGTGCGCTCTCAGGACATTATTACCTGCAGTGTTCCCTCAGTGAGGACTGAACTATACAAAAGTGTCTTCTCCTACTCTGCTCCTGTTTCCTGGAATATCTTGCAAAAAGACCTGAAGCTCTCGATCTTGACCTCTCTAAGTGGCTTCAAACATCTGTTAAGTTCATGGCAAGAACCAACGCAGACATGTTCCTGTTTTTAGTTTTCTACACCGCCTCATAATCTAGCTGTTTTCACTTTTTATTTTCATTTGACAGTATATGCTTTTATACGATTGTTTTGTTGTTGTCTGTCCCTCATCTGTGTTTTTTGTTAAATCAGGTCTCTCTTGTAAACGAGTCCTCGTGACTCAGTGAGACTAACCTGTAGAGATAAAGGTTGAATGAATGTCTCAAAACTTGAGCTTGGTCTGGAATAGTATTTTATGAACTTTATTATTGGTAACTCTTGTGCTTATTGAATTATTTAACTTCATTTACAACATAATCCAAATAGAAAGACGGCATCTCTTGATGCCTGGTTTGTTCCACTTTGGAGTAAGCTGTTGGGGGAAGAATCAGCTGTGTTGTGTTTCTTTGACTGATGAAGCCTTCTGGATCGAAAGAGAAATGTTTCAGCACAAAAAGAAGAAACTGTCCAGATGACCTGACTGAAAAATGTTGGATTGTGTACCTGGATTATTGAGCATGGACTTTGTTGTTGGCATCTCTTGAATTTCTCTAAAAACCTTGTTCCTTCACATCTCCTTCAGCAAATGGTGCTAATGTCTTCCTTTGCTACTTTGTTATGCTACTGTTTAGCTCATTTTATATTTTAGCTACAATTGCATTTTTATAGCTTTTCCTACTGTTTTGCTAATGTGAGGCTTTAGCTTTTTTGCTTTTAGTTATGATTTTGCTATTTATTTATTTTTTTACCCATTATCTTTTGTTTTACTAATTTGAACTTTTATCAATATTTTTTTGCTCATCTTAACTTTTAGCTACTCGTTTGTTACTTTTAGCTTTTAGGATGGTTTTACAATTTTTTTATTTTAGCTTCAGTTTTAGTTTTTTTAAACAGTTTTGCTCATTTTAGCTTTTAGCAATGACTACTTTAAGCTTTTAGTTATGGCTTGGTTCCTTGTGGATTTGTTTTGGTTTAGTTTATTGTCGCAACAATTTGGTTGCTTTTAGCTTTTAGCTTTGGTTTTGTACTTTTAGCTACAGTTGATACATAAAGCTTTAGCTAAGGTTTGGCTATATTCAAATTGTTGCTACTATTTTGTAACTTTTGACTCTTAAGTACTATAGTGTACTAATATCAGCTTGTGTTCTGCTTGTTCTAATGTCACTGTTCCAGTTGTGTATTCTTTACCAGTTTCGGCGGCCCTTCAGCTCAGTATTCACTCAGTATTTTCACAGTAAATCATTTCTCTACTGCAACACTTTTTGAGACATCACCAACCTTTGTTTACCTGTGTTCAGGTGCTTGTTGACGCTCCCTGCACCACAGACAGACATTCCCTCATCGAAGACGACAACAACATCTTCAGTAAGATGAGGACTGGTGAGAGGCAAAGGCTACCACAGCTGCAGCTGGAGTTGCTGCTGTAAGTTTGGTTGAACCAGAACCCGAGAATTAGACACGCTAATAAATGCATTTTTTGTACTGTTTGTATATTTGTAAAACTGCTGATAGAGTCTCACACATGTCAGTCATGGGGTAAAGGTTCTTTAAAGACAGTCTTGACATATTGTAACCAGTTTCAAGATGTACGTTTGATTTATTTATTTATTTATTTTTTTTCTCAAAAAGCCAAACTTTTTAAAGTTCTCTTAAAATAATAATAATAATTCTCCAGGTTTTTTCAAGATCTGGCAGCTTCTTTACTCATTTGCAGACAAGTTCTAGGACTCAACTATTGTCAGAGATGTTTGCGGTCTAGTTTCATACGATGAAACTGAACTCTGACCTATGAGCCTTTCAGGACCGAGAGACATGAACCAGGGCTCTGTTGACACATTACAGACAACTTCTTGAAACCTACCATATTTTTCACACTATAAGTTGCAGGTTTTTTGCATAATTTACACGCCCTGTGACTTATACGCCAAAGCAACATATTAATGGATTTTTTTTCCTGTTTTTATAAACCAGTTTTTGGCTGAGATGTGACCGTTTTCATTCATTGACTTAAAATATTGAACACTACCATTTTCAGCCACTAGATGGCAGCCGAGCAGTATGGCATGCCATTGTATTATGTAATGGGTAAAAGTGGCTATTAATGACACAATCGGCTTGCCATAGTCTGCCACCTTCGTCTGCCTGGAGCAACCGTCAAATCAACTTCATTTTGCTGCGCTGCCCCGGCGAAATGCAGCTGATTTGACCATTGAAGTGCATTTATTAAGGAAAAGTTCAACTGAGACTCACCTTTACTATAAAGTCGAGCAAACAAATAATTGTTTTTAGGTGTTTATCTTGGGAAATTTCGATGAAATGCACAGCGAGTCGCCCTCTGCTTCAGCGTATCGGCTTTTGAAATGCAGCTGATTTGACCGTCAAAGTGCATTTTATTAAGGAAAAAATGCTTGTTAAAGTCCTCTCGTGCACACTCCTGCGGCCACCATTTGGCAGCCCATCGATTTTTGGCACAACACCGGCCCATGTTTCCGGGTTGTCAATGGTGACGCATAACAAATGTGTGGCGTCACCTGTGATGCATAATAGATGCGACGTATACGGCGAAGCGACATAGTGATGGATTTTTCTACTTTATTAGACATATTTGGACTGATGTGACTTATAGGGCGGTGTGACGTGTACGGCAGAAAATACGGTATTTAATAATTTGGCTTCCTACCATCTTTTTCAAAGATGCCATCTACTGACATTTGTTTAGTGGAATCTATGAAAAATACCAAAGATAACCAGGTACGACAGATACAACTGCATTAACACAACAAGATGATTCTCAAATTGCTGCTAGCTGAAAATGAGTGAAAAGGCAGCTAAAGTCTAAAGAGAGACATTGTGTAAGACCTTCGGGAAATCTGGAAATTATTGCTCTACTTTAAGACTACTGTAAAATATTATAAGGTCTTGCTCTTCCGAGGCAAACCGTTTAGCCATATCCATACTTTAGTTCACTTTAGGCCTAGGTTTAAGTACGCACCGTGCTTCACATTAGGAACCACACATTGCAATGCTCTTTCTTTTTTACAAAAACACCTTCTTTTTGAACTACAGTCTTAAATTTGGATTAATTACATGCAAAAAGTGGCTACTTTAAAGTAGAGCCTGACTGATGTATCAGTAGGGCCGATATTTTAGGCCAATATAGGCGTTTGGGGACCTATCAGTATCGGTGATAACTGGCCCATTATGTGCCAGTATAACCACTTCTAATTTTCACCCCTGAAATGTTGGGAACAAGCCGTGTCCTTACTTGCAAATCGTGTAATTGTACAGTGTATCCAGCAGAGCGTGCATGCAGACTACCGTACTTTCAAGTCATGATCGTGCTGCACACTTGTCTCACAGCACAGCCGAAGCAGTGAACAATACAGTGTAGCCTATTTTGCTGAACAGAGCATGGTAAGTTTATTTTAAATGATCTGTAAAATTAAATATCAACAATAATAAATTCTCTTCAATCCTCCAACCCACTTGCCATTTGCCTGTCAAGCTAACATTTAGATAACCTAGCATAGGCTATGGCCTTGTAAAACTTCAGCCAGAACAATAAATCGAATGTAAGGTTAAAATATATCAGTGTTGGTAACATTATCTTTGTCATCCTCAATGAAATGCATTGTTTGTCTGAAACCTTTACGTCTCTGCAAAGAATAAAAATAACGCCGCTGCGGTCAATACTAATTAGGACTTCACCGTACGTGAATGACTGTTTATTTAAACAATGAACAGGGAAGGGCTTTTCTTTGTTTAATTTATATTTTTGTAACACTTGATAACTTTATGGTAAATAGTGGAGGACAGAAAATGTGAACGCACGTTAGGAAGAAGTTTCAAGACTTCAAGTGTTAAAACAGGTTTAAAAGTAGCTGTTAACTTAGATTTATGGGGTGGACAAAGATCAAAAATGTCCAGCCAATATATCGGGCATCAGCATTAGCCCCTCCCAATATCGGTATCGGTGATAGTCAAAATGTCCATATCGATCGGGCTCTACTTTAATGTATCCATAACTTGACCCAAGTTTCAACGTGAAATAGTCAAATGGAGAAAAATGTGTGCATGAAAAGGTGTTTCCAGACCAGTCCTGATCCACCTGCATGAAAATGACTGTACACGTTGTTGCATTCAACTTGGTTTGTTACACTGAGCACAAAATGCCAGAGTATGGTAGTGTGACGACCATCTTCATGCTCACGCTCACTGTTTGTGGGACCGTCCTGTGCCTAGCGGGTTAGTCTCACTGCTAGGTAGGTTGATTTGCCAAGTCTTACTGGACCCAACTCTTAGCCCTGCTGAGACCTGATTGGCCATGAGCCACAGGACACGAACCCAAGCCCAGGGGTCGCCCATTTTAATAATTCAGAAGGACAGTCCTGGCTGGGTCTTACTATTTCAGGCATCACACAAAGAGTTTGTGGTCTGGCTTATCAAATTACCAGATTGACGCATGGGACGACGTCTTTGTCGTGCTCGATGAGCACATTACCAGCAGGAACCACCAGTAGGTGAGGTTTCACCATGGTGCTACAACGACAAGAGGCAACCATTCCCACTGGCTACCCCATCCATATGGTAGATGTCCCTCCCCCTCCTGGGGCACCTGGACCCACCCTGTTTCAGTGACCGTACTTGGTGCGAGCCCAAGGCCTCCCCGGTCAGCCTGAATCCAGAAACAGATGTAGACCTTAAGAGTTACTCCCTCCTGTTTTATACAAAGTCTAACATTTTACACCAACACCACTGATGGAGCAGTAACTGTAATGTAACCTGTATTCATTTCACACTCTCTCTTGTAGAGCGGGAATCCTAGCAGCTTGTCCTGGTGGTGAGATTGTTTATTCCACGTGCACGCTCTCTCAGAACCAGAACCAGAGCGTGGTGGAACAAGCCGTACAGCAAGCTCAGGAGGAGCACAACATCCACCTTGAGGTTAGAGGAACAATATCAAGAAGAAAGAAAGATTCACTTCATGCTGATAATTGATTGTTAATAAACGTCTTAAAGGGATAATTCACTCTTTTGAAGTGGGAACGTTATGAACAATAATGTTACCTCTGTTTGCAGAAACAAGGTTTAATTCTGACAGGACTGATGAAACTTGTCTAAACATCTAAGACCAAAGAGAATTTCTACCTTCCTAAAATGGCTCCAAGCAGTATAGGAACAATTTTTTCATAGATCTTTGTATTGTTGTCAGTGTTGCATTAAACGAGTTTTCACGTGGACCTTTGTGGTTGTTTGGAAGCGATAAAAGTGGCAGCTGCTAGCTGTGGTGCTGCTAACGCAGCCTGGGGTCACTTCCAGCAGGAGTTTGTTGCACTGAGTGCAGGATGAAGGGCTGATGAAGACAAGTTTACTTCTTGGTCTTCTTAGGAGTGACCTTGGGGCTCTTGGTCACCTTCTTTACTGCCTTCTTGACCAGTGCTTTCTTCAGGGACTTCTTGACTGCCTTTAGCTTCTTAGCAGCGAGTTTCTTGGCTGCGGTGGTCTTCTTGACTTTAGCAGGAGCCTTTTTCCACCACCTTTTTAGCTGGTTGGTGACTGCAGGCTTTTTGTTAGTGAGCTTGAATGATCCGGAGGCCCCGGTGCCTTTAGTCTGGCTCAGGGTGCCCTGGGCGACCAGCTTCGTGACAGCGGTGTTGATGTGTTTGTTAGCCTTGCTCACGTCCACTCCTTTCCCGGCCAGCGCCGGCAGAGCCGCTCCCTTCCACTCCTTGCAGTCTGCCACGACGGACATGATGCAGTTCTGGATGCAGGGTCCTTCCTTCTTTGCTTTCGGAGCGGACTTCTTCCTGGGAGCTTTGGTCGGGGCAGCATTTCCAACAATCTGCATATGTTTCGAGCTTGCCTCAGCTTTACAGCTTGAACCACACACTCACTGCTCTTTGAACTGAGAAAGCTCCTCGGATGAGGAGCAAACCGTCTTCTGTTACAAATAAAGTCCAGTTGTTTTTGTCTTGAACTTTTTTAAATTTACCATGTCCTGGATGACCGAGAATCTTCACCAGTGTATTTTCAGCAAGAATTCCATAATAGTTCTACTGAAATAGTTGTGTGTTAAAGTTTAACGATTGAAGTATAAAGATGACGGCACACTGCTGCTCTCATCAGTCTTGTCAAAATTAAACTGTCTCCAAGCTGAGGTTGTTCAAAAGACTTTCTACAGAATATAAGTTGTAATTTTTCCATTTACTCTTCAAAATGGCCAAAATATCCCTTTCAGCTCTTTTTTTTTTTTGTCATAGATACTCAGCTTAGACCAAGTATTAATTGTTTTCTTTCTTTTTCCTGTCACCTCTGCATTTAGGTTGTCAGTCTGCGCCCTCTTGTGCAGATGTTCAGGAACACCTTTCACTTTGCTCGGGACCTCCACCTGGGTGAGATGGTCATCCCCCACTTAGCTGCTAACTTTGGACCCATTTACCTGTGCAAGCTGAGGAGACTTACGTAAACTATGCTTTGCTGGACGCGTTCCTCTGAAAACTGGACAATAAATAACTTTTTTTAAAATAAATTTTGAAACTTCAAATACTGTTCTGCACTGACAAACACGTGCTACAGTTGGGGTGTCTGACCGTGTTTTGTCTTCAGTAAATGAGGGCCATAGTGTGGAGGAATGCATGTCACCCACCACCTTCCATGCCACAGTTTTAAACAAAGAGGATTTTTTTTTTTTTAAGAAATTATGAATGTGATAGACATATATTTCTTTAATATTTTATTAGTGGCGTGCAAAAAAGCCCTGAAGAAAAATTGTCTTTCAGTGGAGAGCCCAACATTGAACATATACAGGATGGAGAGAATAACTGCAGAAGTAGATGACATAAAGAACCAATTTACTTTATGCTGGAAGAAATGGTTTACAGGTGCTGGTTGTAAAATTAGAATATCATGAAAATGTTGATTTATTTCAGTAATTCCATTCAAGAAGTGGAACTTGTATATTCATTCATTACACACAGACTGATATATTTCAAATGTTTATTTCTTTCATTGTTGATGATTATAACTGATAACTAATGAAAACCCCAAATTCAGTATCTCAGAAAATTAGAATATTATTTAAGACCAATTAAAATAAAGGATTTTTTGAAATGTTGGACAACTTTAAAGTATGAACACGAAAAGTATGAGCATGTACAGCATCAGTACTTAGTTGTTGCTCCTTTAGCCTGGATTACTGCAGCAATGCAGTGTGGCATGGAGTCGATCAGTCTGTGGCTCTGCTCAGGTGTTATGAGCCCTGGTTGATCTGATGGTGGCCTTCATAACTTCATAACTACTGTTTTGGATCTGACCAACTGGACTTTCAACGCAAATGACAAGATCTTTTCAACAAAGCGACAGGGTCCTGGAGAGCCCTCATGTCTGCCCGGACGACATGTATGCAGCTGGATATATCTCTGGAGGAAGTGGAATGTGATGTGTCTATCTCTGCTGTCAATCGAGGATGCCAAAATTGCATATAATTGGATTCATGGTGGGCAGCAGGGTGGCGCAACTGGTAGAGCTGCTGCCTCTCAGCGAACAGGTCCCTGGTTCAAACCCTGGTCAAGGTGCCTTCTGGGTGGAGTTTGCATGTTCTCTCCGTGCATGCGTGGGTTTTCTCCGGGTACTCCGGTTTCCTCCCACAGACCAAAAACATGCATGTTAGACTGATGGTAACTCTAAATTGTCTCTAGGTGTGAGTGAGAGAGTGAATGGTTGTTTGTCTCTATGTGTCCCTGTGATGGACTTGCGACCCGTCCAGGGTGTACCCCGCCCCTCGCACAGTGATTGCTGGACATGGGCACCAGCGACCCCCGTGACCCAAAATGGAATAAACGGGTAAAGATAATGGATGGATGGATGGATTCATGGTAACAGATTTGCTGTTTTTGGAATTGTCTGGTTCCTGGTTTAGCAACATGCAAAGAAGACAGCCGTAGCTAATCTGGCCTGGTCAGGCTGCTGCCTATGTGAAGGTTTGGTTCATGCTTTGAAGACTCAAAATCAGCTGATTTGCGAGCTAAACCGTGAGATATAAGTGATTTGTGAGAATTGCAGGCCACCTGCGGCTTTGGGACTTGCCAGCATTAAACGACTTTGGAAAGGCTCAAAAGCATGGACCAGTAGAATGCACCCTAATCTGGCCATTTCGGATCTTGGAAGTACCAGTAAGACTCAACCCCCACCCCAACTTCTGTGGAGGCTTGTGTTCGTAAGTGTGCTTGCTGGCAGAGGTTTTTTTTTTTTTTTTAATGTCTTAAATCGTGTCCTGTAAGGACAAGGTGTTAAGAGATCTTTTTTTTTGTAATGCCACTATCCTCTCCCCATGGCTTTGTCCTGTTTTCTATCTAAAAAATGTATTCTGAAAAGGATAAGAGGCCATGCTCTCAAAGAGCAGCAGCTACGTGCACTCTGCCCATCTTTCGGACGACTGCACGGACATATTTTTGCTGTATCTCGGTACAGTGATAATAAAGCTTATTCTGATTCAGCTCTTCTGAATTGTTGGCTCTGGTGTATCACATCTTCCTCTTCACAATACCTCATCGATTTTCTATGGAGTTACGGTCAGGTGAGTCTGCTGGCCAATTAAGAACAAGGATACCATGGTCCTTAAACCAGGTACTGGTAGCTTTGGCTCTGTGTGCAGGTGCCAAGTCCTATTAGAAAATGAAATCTGCATCTCCATAAAGTTGTTCAGCAGCAGGAAGCATGAAGTCTCTAAAACTTCCTGGTAGACGGCTGTGTTGACCTTGGACCTCAGAAAACAAAGTGGACCAACACCAGCAGGTGACATGGCCCCCCAAACCATCACTGACCATGGGAACTTGACACTGGACCTCAAGCAACATGGACTCTGTACCTCTCCTCACTTCCTCCAGATTCTGGGACCTTGATTTCCAAAGGAAATGCAAAATTTACTTTCATCAGAGAACATAACTTTGGACCTCTCAGCAGCAGTCCCAGGTGAGACGCTTCTGACACTGTCTCTTGTTCAAAGTGGCTTGACACAAGGAATGTGACAGCTGAAACCCTTGTCTTGCATATGTCTGTGCGTGGTGGTTCTTGAAGCGCTGACTCCAGCTGCAGTCCACTCTTTGTGACTATCCCCCACATTTTGGAATGGGTTTTGTTTCACAGTCCTCTCCAGGGTGGTTGTCCCTATTGGTTGTACACTTTTTTCTACCACATCTTTTCCTTCCCTTTGCCTCTCTATTAATGTGCTTGGACACAGAGCTCTGTGAACAGCCAGCCTCTTTAGCAATGACCTTTTGTGTCTTGCAGTCCTTGTGCAAGGTGTCAATGGTCATCTTCTGGACAACTGTCAAGTCAGCAGTCTTCCTCATGATTGTGTAACCTACAGAACTAGACTGAGACCATTTAAAGGCCTTTGCAAGTGTTTTGAGTTAATTAGCTGATTGTGGTGCCAGGTGTCTTCAATGTTGAACCTTCTCACAATATTCTCATTTTCTGAGATATTGAATTTGTGGTTTTCATTAGTTGTCAGTTATGATCATCAACATTATTTTTTTTTATAAAAAATAACATTTGAAATATATCAGTCTGTGTGTAATGAATGGATATAATATACAAGTTTAACTTTTTGAATGAACTGAAAAATTCAATTCAATTCAAAAATACTTTATCAATCCCAGAGGGAAATTAAGTGTTGTCGAAGCTCATCATCCTGGTTTTATTCAAGAGTTGTTAGATGCTGATTGCTGTGGGAAGGAAGGATCTCCTGCAGCGAATACAAAGAATCTGGCCACAGATACCGATCTGTCCACCCACAGCCAGCTGGCTGTCAGATCCGGCTGGCCTCTCGACATTGCTCTAATAAATCAACTTTTTCATGATATTCTGATTTTATGACCTGCACTTATATATAAAATCACACATACCAGATCTAGACTTGGCAATTTCAGAATGATATATTGATTGTAACTAAGGGTTGAATAGACTAGTCGACTAGTCAGTTCTATGTCATCGCGCAAGTTTTTATATTTCAAGTTGACTAGTCGCTTCCCCCGCTATTCCCAACCCTATTCCACCCAATCCACGTGGTGGATTAAATAAAACAAAACTAAAAACAGCAGTGTTTTTGCAGCTTGATAATAGTTTTGCTTTTCCTTTGACTTATTTGCAGTATGATAAATGGTAGGAGCATGAATATATGCCTGAAGTGGTGTTCTTAAAAAAAAAAAAAAATTACTTATTTGAAAAAACAAAAAAAAAAACGTTGGTTTTTTTTGCAAGTATGAGAGCGTCTTGAGTTCCTACGTCATTGACTAGTCGAAGTCGACTTGACTTTTGTCATGTTAAAGTCGACTTAAAAATATGTAGGTGTTTAACCCCTAGCTGTAACAAAAATCACTTTCACTTCCTTTGTGTTGTTGTTTATGTTGTGTTCCCTTTTTTTGTTGTTTAAAGTCATTTCAACGGATATTTTCCTAATAACTGAAGTGGATGTACATGTTAATTATGTTTATAAAAGTCAGTAAAAATGTATAAATTAAAATGTGAATTTGTAGTTGAAACCTTGAAATTAACATTATGTGTATAATCTACTACACAGGGGCTATTTTAGCCTCTTTGGAGGTTCTCCAGCACCCCTAAACTTTAACTCAACTCTCCAGAAAAATAAAGAAACCATCATTAGGATTTTGTAAGGAAACTCAGTTCTCAAGCCTTAGATTCACCAAAATATTGAACAAATATTGAATAAATATGGAATAAATGATGATGGTCTTAAAGGGGCCAGAAAAAAAACAGATTTTTTTAATGAGTCAGATCCTCGACTCCACCTGTCAAATCAGTCCAGCAACCAACCAATCGGGAACCTCAGTTTATTCCGAAGTGAAATGCCTCTTACTTTTGGGGGGTGGGGGTTAGGATGCATGAGAGAAGTGTAGCACCATAAGTTAGCGCATGTATTTTACAGACTACTTGTTGCTCTAAAATAGTTATTGAATCAAGTGTTTACTTACGTAGGATAACTTAGATGTTTAACAACCTGTTAAAATACACCAGAATGTAGGAAATGGCATCTACCCGTACTTTATTCAAAATTTTCTGGGGGTGGACCCCCAGAGCACCCTACCAGTGTGTAACCCCCCCCCCCCCCACACACACACACACACACACATTACAAATGCTTCTGGTGCCAATGGCTACTGTGTTCAAGCCAAGAGCCATTGTCAGCACTGGGGGCTAAGCCCCCCCACAGGTCAGATTCTAGAGTCGCCCCTGCTGCCATACCAGATTTTAGCTCACTGTTTGTAAAATTGACTGAATTATAGCCTTTTTTGTCTTTTCTATTAAAAATTAGCTGTAACAGCCATCTTGAATTGTATTTGACTCCACATTTTAATAAGTTGTAGTTATCAGAGTCAGAGTCAGAGTTTCTTTATTGTCATTCGCACCTCATGTGGTACATGTGGTGGAGCGAAATTATGTACACAG